GAGGGCAGCTGGGGTGCTGCCAGTTTGGTCCCACAGCACTGCCCTCTCCCACGCTGCGCAGTTCCCCGCCGACCTCCCCCTCCCCAGGCCCCTCGTAGTCCCCCTTCCGGTACTCCAGCATATCTGATAATCCGGCACCCCCTCGGTCCTAAAGGTGCCGAATCATCGGAAGTTTACTGTATATGGAAATTCAGATTCAAACTGACTTGGGACTTAAGTCAAAGCCTAACAAGAATCATCTAGTAAATAAGAAATACATCACAGTTTTTTAAAAATGTAAAAGTTAACACTGAATAAATGCAAGCTAAAATATACTGTGCATAATCATTTAAGAAATGACAGTGTACCCTGGTTAGTAAAAAGAAGCCCCAAATTTAGTGAAAAGGATGTATGGGGGGCCACAGCAACCTACAGCACACGTGCCATAAGTAGCATGCAAGCATGGGCAGTCGGTAACATAGGCAAGGGAAGGCAAGGCCTTCCCAAATTACCTACATGACTGACTGCTTAAGACTGGGGGTACCGCTGGGACGGCTGGGGCTGTAGCACAGCAGCCTAGCTTTACCTGCCCACTGCTGCGGGACAGCCCAGTTTTCCCTCCTGCTGGGGAGGCATCACGGCTCTGTGTGGCAGAGTGGCTTCCCCACTGGCCACCAGGGAGGGATGGGGGCCACAGCTCGGCAGCCCAGGGCCAAGGAGAGCTGGGCCAGGGAGCTACCAAGGAGAACTGGGCCGGGGCCACAGCACAGCAGCCGGGGCTCTCTATGTGGCCCAGAAGGATTGGGCTGGAAGTAGGGGTGGCCTCAGCAGAAGGGGTGGAGCTGGGGCTTGACTTCCTCAGCTGGCCTTTCACCTGACCCCCATACCAATTTTGAGCAGCACACAGGGAGCTCAGCCACCACACCTTTTTAGCCCACACAGTGGGGAGCCCACACTGCTGCGTAAGTCATCCGCTTTACCCAGCAGCTGGTTAGACTGCACCATGCCCAGCAGTAGTGGAAGGAGACAGGGCTGTGGCTGAGGCAGCAGTCCAGGGACAGGCCAGGACTGGACAGCCGCGGCAGCAGCTCCTCCAGGGCTGGTGCAGGACTGCATCAACTGAAGATACCACCTTAGAAATTCGTGATATCCATACGGAATTATCAATTACTGATAAAAGTTTTGGAAAGGGTATTTACCTCATAATTCAGGAATGAACTTATTCTGTACTACAGATCAGTCAGATTTATCCTGCAGGAGGAAGACACATTTACCTATTTCAGGGTGCTTATACTTTCCTCTGAAGCATCTGGTATCGGCCAATGTCAAGGACAGGTTACTGGACCAGATGGACTCAAGTTTGATCGAATATAAAATCCCTATATTCCTACTTATCAATCATAGGAAACCATGGTCCATAGTTTACAGATTTGCACAGAATCACAGAGTAAGAAGGGACCAGTTTTGCAAGCTGTATGCATGAGCACACTGGCACAAGTGTGTAGAAGGTGGAGAAGTGAGACAGAGAAGAAAAAAAAATAGGTATTTGGCTTCAGACCTCAACCATTTTTTAAGAGAATTATGTATTCTGTGATACAATAGATTATATCATCAAGGTGTAATTCTTTGAGGAAGACAGTGACTGCTTATAGAAGATAACCAGGTTAGTGCCAGATTTTTCTTCAACATAAGGCCAACTGTATTCCATAACATTAGTACAAATTGACAGACAAAAGTCTGTTCGCTTATACAGGTAGACATTAGGTTTGTAATATATACATAGTAAACACAGGGCATTCGTTACTGCTTGTATTACAATATATGTTCATTTTTTAAAAATTGTTTCTTTATTATTAGATACTATCAAATGATGAATCAATACTCTACCAAATCTATTACTGCTATGAAGTTTCCATACAAAAATATGCACGGTGATTAGGGATGTAATGGCCACTTAAAGAGAATAGGTTAAGCAATTAAAATGTATATAGTTTAACAGACTAACCGTGGTCCAGATAGTCATCCCACAGCAGGCTGAGATGCTCCAGCTGGGCAGGGATCCTGCTACGCAATGGGTAGCAGAGCTGCTCCAGCCGTCAGAGTAGGATGGCAGCTGTGCCCCCCCTGCCAGTTAACCAGTTACCAGATAAGCACACCGGTAAGGCTTATGCTTACCAGGTAACTGGTTAACTTTACATATCCCTAATGGGGATAGAAAGATTTTAAAAAAAGAGTTAAAGGTATTGTTTTACGTTTCTCACTGCATAGTCATTTCAAGATAACGAGCATTATTTCGAAATAACAATGCAAGCGTCTACACAGCCATTCTGTTATTTCAAAATAATTTCAAAATAATGGATGGCTTATTCCAAAATCTGTAAAACTCATTCTACAAGGAATAACAGCTATTCTGAAACAGCTATTTTGAAATAAGGCGTGGGGAGACGTTTCAGCAGGGCCATTCTAAGTTATTCCTCCCCACTGCCTCCTGGGGCTTTAAATTGAGATAGTACGTCTAAGTTAGGGAAGCCTGCCTCAGACTAATTTTGAGGCTTCCCTGCAGTGTAGACGAGCTCTTTCAAAATAGGCTATTTCAGAATAGCTTATTTCAAAATAAGCGTGCAGTGTAGACATACCCTAAGATGCCGATGGTAATACGATCAGTTATGGAAAGCCAGGATATTATTCTTTAAGTAAATTGTTTTCATGTGAAACCTACCTTGCTCTTCTTGCCCTTGGCTTCACTTAAGACAAGTTCATCCTGAAGCAGTTCCACCCTCTTAGCAAGCTGCTGATTTCGAAATGTCAGACTATCCATTTCTTGTTGCAGTTTTCTCAATGATTGGTCCTTCATCTTCAGTTGCTCCTATATTAGCACAGAAGTTTAATCAGTCCACGGCAATTTCAGCACAGTCTTTATAAAAATGTGATTTTAATATTCACAAAAAGAAGTCCAAAGGAATGACAGTAATTATACAAATTTAACACAAATTGCTTTGTTTTGTAGACAACCTAAAAAAGGAAGGCACGTAAGTCTACACAAAGTATGCTGCAAGTATGCACACGCAGATGGACACTTCCTGATGACTGTATCATAAATGCCCTCTTTTACCATCAGATCAACTAAATAGAAGACTTTTTAACGTGTACCTTCAGAGAAGCAGAATGTGCTTGCTCATCCACAACACCTTTTTTCAGTACCTGATTCTGAGCTCGAAGCTGAAAACAAAAAGGTGCAAATTAATCAATCGATCCAGGAATCAAACATACAAAGTGTTCATTAACAACCTCCAAACGTATGTACTTTCATTTGGGAAAATAGGAAATACGTGGATCTGTAAGCAGGCCATATTAGTTCTGTTACAAATATACTATTGTAAAAATATTGAAAAAAGTATAATACTAGGATAACCTAATTCTATTGTTTAACATTTTGGAAAACAATTCTCATCTTCTATGAACTTCACTCTCAACCAAGCTGTTCTTAAAACAACAAATATACATCTTAAGGTGACAGGACAATATTAAAGTGTGATTATGGTCTGAAGAGCAACTATGCAAAAATATCGCCTTTTTACTAAAGGAACCTACTCCCAGTATGTAATTCTTTTCAGAAAAAAAATAAATTTGCTTTTTTTTAAAAAACAACTTTGCATTTTTGTTCACAATACAGAACCAACACAGCTAGTCATCAGGATTCTGTGCCATTTCACTGTTAACTGTGTTCTGATTACAAAGTCTGAGATACAGGAATAAGCCAGAGAGAGCGCAGATTGACCTAACATCTCAAGATGGGTTTGTAGACCACTCAAAAAATCTTCCCCATCCTTTTTTAACATTATGAGCTTGGCTAGTTTGAGTTGGAAATCACTGTCATAACCTACACACTTTACATAGGTGAAACAAACTTACATCGACACAGGGCCAGCACTCTCTATAAACAAGGCCTTGTCCATACTACAGGGTTTTGCCATTGACAAAATAACAGAGGTGAACACACTATAAATCTCCTTCCAGGAACACAGAATTCTCCTGCTTTGCTGGCAAAGCTTTATTGACAAAACGTCAGTAGAGACACTGTGCTTGATCATGCCACTTTAAATGGCCTTTACGAAACGTCCTACAATGCCCATCCTCATCACTTTGATCAAGGGTTCAAACTGTACTATTCTGCATCAAGATACACATGCATCTGCCCTTCCCCCTTAAAAAAAAACCAAAAAAAACCCGAGAAATTTTTGAAATTCCACTTCCTGTTTGCTCAGCATGGGCAGCTCACGTGACATCTTCCCAGCTGATGAGAGCACAACACTGTACTCTCCTACTTGGAGCACATAGGAACTGTTGGATCTGCTAGCACTGTGGGGAGAGGGGCATGTGTAGTTGACAAGATTACATGATTGACCCAATAGCCTCATCTTATCAGTTAGTCGACTATACATCGACATCCCTAGTTAATGCATATCAAGGTTTCAAGGAATCCGCCTAAGAGATATTTAGGAAACTTTCCTGGAAGTACTTGCCAACTCTCTGTGGAAAGTTCCTTGATGAAAGCAGCTTTGTTCCTTCTCCCATTATAAAAGCGACGAGGAGTCCTGTGGCACCTTATAGACTAACTGAAGTGTAGGAGCATAAGCTTTCGTGGGCAAAGACCCACTTCGTGCATCTGACGAAGCTGAAGTGTAGGAGCATAAGCTTTCGTGGGCAAAGACCCACTTTGTCAGATGCACGAAGTGGGTCTTTGCCCACGAAAGCTTATTCTCCTACACTTCAGTTAGTCTATAAGGTGCCACAGGACTCCTCGTCGCTTTTGCAGATTCAGACTAACACGGCTACCCCTCTGATACTCTCCCATTATAGGAGACTTTCCCCCACCAATCCACAATCACTTGTGCAGGGACCAAAGCAACACACAGGTGAGCAGCATAGGTACCAGGTTTAAAGCCAAACACAGGCAGAAGATGCACCCTTGCACACCCTCAGGAGTGAGATACTGGTTTCACCAAACCTCTCTGTGGACAATAGTAGCAGATCTTAAAATACTGTCCCCAGTCACCTGAACTGATCTCTTAAAAAAAAAAAAAAACACTGATCCTTGGGTAGATGGACCTCTGATCTGACCCAATATGGCTGGTCTTATGTTCTTCCCCCTTCCCATGGGCCAAACACACCACATTTAGAGTGTTCACTGAGCTGTGTGCTTGCCAAGGGACAGTGAGAAGCTAATTTGCATTTAAAAGAGGTGCATCTTACTATAATGATTCAATGCTGTGCATGCACTAACAATCCTGCTTCTGCTTCATGTGCTTCTGCTGAGGTGGCCTTGAGGGAAATGCTCTACACATTGGCACAGTACCCCCCTCCATATAAGGAAGCAACCAAGGAGGACCCGTTTTGAGAGATGCTCCACTTCTCAAAGACCAAAAAGCAAAAATGCAGAGTGCAGACAGAGACTTTAAATATAAAAAAATAGAACAGAATAGAATTCTCCACATTCCTTCAAACTTCTTAGCCCATTTCAGTGCCTTATTCATTCCATCCTTTCACACAGTTTCCAAAATGATAGCTGGACTTACATGCAGCTATTTAGAACGCACGCTGCCCTTAACTGTTATCTTCCTTCCCACCAAGTCTTGTGTGTGTGTGTGTTGTTAATTGGTATTTAGTTTAAAAAAAAACAAAAAACACTCTCTGAAACAAACCTCCAGCTTTTATTTGTCTCTTATACTCAGTGGCTGCCGTTGAAATTCATACACATTGGCAATTTGATAATTTTGCATGGTCAGGAATCATCAACATTTTAACACAATGCAGCAAGTTAAAAGCATGTCTGAATTCTGTATCGAAAGACACATTACTGATGCTTGTTGTCAAAATAGTGCCTCAAAAGACACTCAGATTCCAAAGTCCCCTGTTGTGCCCCTCTAACAATCGTGGAATCTGACTGCTTAAAATCAGCCACCAGATTATTTGCATTCCAGCTGTAGCATCTCTATCCAAGGCAAGCCAGGATGTCGGAGCAGCCCCTGCTTGTGGGGTGCCCTGGTGCTAGGGTATCCTGGCTGATGTAACCCTTGCCTGCGGCAGCGGGAGGAAAGGGACTCTCAAGCCTAGCTGAAGTGACACCCCTCTTTCCCCTCACTCCCAGCCCTGCCCTTAATCAGTCAACTGGTTAAACCTATTAAAAGGGATTTTACATCCCTACTTCACAAGCCAATGAGATTGAGAGGTACATTGCACCTCCCAGGATCCCCATGGACATTTCAACTCTCCCTACTGGAATCTTCTGATCTGGAAAGAAAGCTGCTGCTTGCAACATTCTATAGTGACCAGTGTTCCCAAAAATGCATGCATCATGCACTTTCCTGGACCACCCCATGGTGAATTCACAGGGGTTACAATTTCCACCCCACCATCGACCTCAGCCTGGATCAGTCCATATGAGAGATCCACTTCCTTGACACTACAGTACAATTAAATGATGGGCAAATTTCCACCACCTTATACCGGAAACCGCTGACCACTACACTTACCTTTATGCCTCCAGCTTCCATCCCAGACACATTTCCCAATCTATTGTATACAGCCAAGCCCTAAAATACAATCGGATTTGCTCCATTCCCACAGACAGAGACAAACACCTACAGGATCTATATAGAGCATTCTTAAAACTGAAATACCCACCAGGAGAAGTGAAAAAAGATTGACAGAGCCAAAAGAGTACCCAGACATGAACTACTTCAAGACAGACCCAAAAGAGAAAAACAACAGAATTCCACTTATCACCTACAGCCCACAACTTAAACCCCTCCAACACATTACCAACAATCTACAACCTATCCTGAGAAATGACCCCTCACTTTCAGAGGCCTTAGGGGAAAGGCCAATCCTCGCCGACAGACAACCCCCGAACCTCAAACAAATTCTTTCCAGTAACCAAGCAACACACCTCCATCATAATCAGGGCTCGCCACGCGGCAGCGAGCCCTGCTCACCAGCTTCACGGTTTCATGCAGTTCTGCGCTCTGTGCATGTGCAGATTGTTCTGCGCATGCGCAGATCGCTCTGCGCCGGCTCTTCCAGATTGTAATCTACTCACCACAGGCGAGTAGTTTACATTATTTGTCGAGCCCTGATCTTAATCATCCAGAAATCCACCCCTGAAATCAGCCTTGGTGCCAACCCTGTCCACACATCTACACTAGCAATTTCATCACTGGACCCAACCACATCAGCAACCAGATCAGAGGCTTGTTTAATTGCATATCCACTAATGTGACCTATGCCATCAAATGCCAACAACGCCCCAAACTGGACAGTCTCTATGAGAAAGAATTAATGGACACAAATTAGATATCCTAAAAGGCAATACACAAAAACCTGTTGGAGAACACTTTAATCTGCCTGGACACTCATTAATGGATCTCCAAGTCATAAGCCAAATACACAGAGAAGGATTGGAACTTAACTTCATTTACAAGTTTAATTCTTATGCAAATGGTATGAACAGGGACATCAACTGGCTCCCACACTACCTTCCACATCCTAATGACTTAAACAAACAATGGGGGTGCTAATTGTTCTTATCAGCCTGTTTTAACTATTTGAACCATCTACTCACTGTCTCTCTCGTTCTTTCCCCCCCTCCCTTTCCTTTTTATCCCCCCCCACACCTTTTCCTTCCTCCTCCCCACGCCCCACCACGTTTCCCTTATTTATTCTTGGATCTGGACTTCTAATACTCCAGTCATCTGAAGAAATGGGTTGCGCCCACAAAAGCCCATGACACCATCTACACGTTTTGTTAGTCTTTAAGGTGCTACTAGTCTATTTGCTGAATTTTAAGTTTTTCTTGTTACAGACTAACTCAGCCACCTCTCTGATGCTTTTTATCATAGAGAAGTATCTTTCTCTATTAACATCCTTTGTTGCAAGATAGTCCAGGGCCAAAACTGAAAATTATGTGTCATCTATTGCTCTGCCATAGTTAGAAAATCCTACTGCCATAAAGCCATTCACTATTGCACACATACCGCCAAAAGTCACAGTCTTTTTTAGTAGCACACTGAGATAGCTTACCCACAGTGCACTGCTGTCTCTGTTGATGCTAGAGAACCAACTGTGGATGCACTCCAACAGAATGAGTATTGTGCAAACATGCACAAGAGATATAATTATACTGTTTTTTTATTATTGGTGTAGAACTCTGTATGTAGAAAAGGTCCAAATCGCCCCTGGACAAGGGATGTGTACTTGGCTCTTCCACATCCTAAGCGAATGTCCTAATTATCACAGTAAAATTATAATGAATTGTCACTATGAATGACAGTGAATAGTCACTGGACCTGAGAAGGTTAGAAAAGTTATAAGAACAGTACCTCTTCCTTCTCCTCTTGACATTTTGTGAATGGCATCTAAGTCTCAAAGAAAAAAAGGCAAAAAACTATTCAACACACGTCAAATTTTCAAGTATTTTCTGTTAAATAGTTTATTTGCTAAAATATGCAGTATTAGCCCAAAAAGAAAAAAACCTTTTTTCTTTTTGGGCTAATAGTTTACTCTAGTCACAATTAGGGATGTTAAATATTGATTAATTAGCTAACTGAATAGTCAATGGGATTTCCATCGACTATTCGATTAGTTGATAAGGTCTAGGAAGCCTTCCACCTTTGAAACATACAAGATTGAAATGCCCAGCAGGCTCCACGTGGGCGCTTCTGCTTTGAAATGTACAAGAGCCCCAACAGGGCAATGATATCTAATGGCGTTCCTTCTGGCTATTAAGAACAGTAGAGGTGAAAAGGTGAAAAGAGGTAATAGAAGAGAGCCACATGAGGATCAATGGGGGAAAAAACCCACACCACCACCTCCACTGCCACCACCAAGGGTGGGATGAAGATGGTGAACACCTTTCACTGCCAACCAGAGCAGAATGGATGCAATCCATCCAACGAGGGATAAGTATAGGTGACAAACACACTTTCATCAAATAAATACCTATGACAGGTGAATGGATGGGGAGCAGGAAAGCAAAGAGTGCTACAACCAGTTTTGTTGCCAGTGAACCAGCAGCCTGGGCTTAGCACTACTAGTCCCTTTTGTTCCAGAAGGCTCCCTAGCTTGCAAAATTGTAGAAACCAAGAGAAAACAGGACTGGTGCCTACCAATCTTTTCCTCTCTTTCAAAGGATGCACTCACACGTGCATGCTAAGCGAGAAACTCCACAACACAGCAATGAACGTTTCAATCTCCGACTCTCCCCTGTGCTCCAAAGAGCCAGGCGTAACCTGGGCCAGGCTGGAGCACGAGGCACAGCTTCAGTAGCGAGAGGCGTGACACGATACCACGGAGCTGTCACACCGCACTTTCCGATCAGCAGCGCTGCACAAGAGCAGAGGGAAGCAACCATAAGCGAGAAACTCCACAACACAGCAATGAACGTTTCAATCTCCGACTCTCCCCTGTGCTCCAAAGAGCCAGGCGTAACCTGGGCCAGGCTGGAGCACGAGGCACAGCTTCAGTAGCGAGAGGCGTGACACGATACCACGGAGCTGTCACACCGCACTTTCCGATCAGCAGCGCTGCACAAGAGCAGAGGGAAGCAACCAGCGCGCCCCGAGCGGTGCGGGAGGGGGCAGGACGGGCAGGGAGCGCGTGTCATCGCCAGGCTCTCGCGCCAGGCGCACCGCTGCGGGACTCCCGCTACCGCCGTGCGCGGGGCAGCGGGAGGAGGAATAAAAGGTCTCACAATCGACGGGCAAGTGGCCGGGGAAGCAGCCTCGGCCTCCCCACTCGCCCCTAGTATCGGGATCGGCACCGATCTCGGGAGAATATCGCGACAGGGCAAGTCTCCTCATCCCGGTGTCGCACGCTCGTACCTTCGAATACTCCTGGGCCAGTTTCTGGTACTTCCCCTGCAGCTCCGCACCAGCCGCCGCCATCGCCTCGGGAGCCTCCACAAGCCCTGGCGGGAAACCCGCTGCCTGAGCCACGGCGGCTCAAGCTCACACCCCGTCCCTACCGACCGACTTCCGTGTTCAGACGCTAAACGCGCTGACGTCACCAGCAATGTCACGCTAGGCTCCAGAGTGGCACCACCATCTTGACGCAAAATCCAAGATGGCGAAGCGAGCGGTGCTGCCCTCGCCAGGGCCATAACGGAGAAGCCGGAATGTGGATCACATGACACGGGAAGGGGTGAGCGTGCCGTTGTTGCTACGGTAACAGACTCATTCGTGTTACTGGGATACGGGGCCCGGCTGGGGCCAATAGAGCCGCGCACGTTGAGAGAGTTCGTGGGGGGTCGGTATGCTCCGCGGGAGCCAGGTGCCATTGATAAAGCTGGTGGGGGGCGGTCACCGGGGACAGGCAAGGCCTGGGCAACGAACGGGCCAGCGGCGCGGCTCCTCAGTGCTGCGTGCTCAGGCCCCCGGCGCGGCCGCCGAAAGAGGGGTGAGTCGCCCGGTGGCTAAGAGGCCGGCGGGGAGTAACTGGGCCTCGGCGCTGCCCGGATCCGCCCCGGGGTGCAGGAGGCGGCGCGGAGCCCGCTAGCTAGGCCCGTATGGAAAATGTCCCGAGCCAGGATGGGCAGCCGGGCTCGTTCTCTCCTCTGCGTGCATGGCCGGGGCTGGAGACAAGAGTTTCTGGCTCTGCGCAGCCGGCCCTCGCCTGTGGCGAGCATTAAAAGCGGCCCGTTTGCCTGCAGAGAGCCAGCCCTTCCTTGCCTCGTCTGCGTGGAGTGGGCAAGCAGGAACACATGTTGGAAAAATCAAGCATTCGTTTTCACCGTGCTCAGGGATAAGCCCTAGCTGTAACGAATCAGTGGGGAGGATGCATATGAAACCGTCAGCACCATATCCTAAGTTCGTTATGTTTAATTACAAAAAAAAGCTGTGTGTCCCGTTCAGTCTCACTAGAGTTTTTGCTCTAATAAAATTAATGTATTATGTAAAGCCTTAGTCAAAAATTTGTGGCAAGGCAATAAAAATGCAGGGGAGGAACCACCTAAATTAAAACATGTATTTTGTCCTATATATTGTAAAATCCATGTTTAGATTAACACACTAGGAGGAGCCTGTTACTTAAGCTTGGCAACTTGGTTTTCAGAGTCAGAGAACAAAATATACAGGCCTTTAAGTGGATGGTTCAACCAGTTCCACTATAGCAGAGGTGAGGAACCTTTTTTGGGACAGAGCCTGCAGACCCACAGAAAAATCAGTCTTGGGCCAGCACAAGTGACAAGCAACAAAACAAAAACAACAAAAAACCCTCACCGATGTGGCCCCTGACTGAGAAGGAGAAAGATACTCCCCACATTCTCCACCCATACCAGAGCATAGGGGAGCCCAGTACATTTTAGCTGTGTCTACATTGGCAAGATTTTGTGCATACCAGAGCGTAGGGGGGCCCAGTACATTTTAGCTGTGTCTACACTGGCAAGATTTTGTGCAAAAGCAGTCACTTTTGTGCAAAATCTTGCCTCCTGTTTACACTGGCCACGAGTTTTTGCACAAGTACACTGATGTTGTATTGTACAAAATCAGTGCTTCTTGCACAAATACTCTGATGCTCCCACTCAGGGATAAGTCCTCTTGTGCAACTGTTCTTGCTCAAGAGGCCAGTGTAGACAGGTAACATCAATTTCTTGCGCAAGAAAGCCCAATGGCTAAAATGACCATCGGAGCTTTCTTGCGCAAGAGAGTGTCTACGCTGGCATGGATGCTTTTGCGCAAAAGCAAATCTTTTGTGCAAAGGCACATGCCGGTATAGATGCTCTCTTGTGCAAATACTTTTAACGGAAAAACTCTTCTGTTAAAAGTATTTGTGCAAAATCATGCCAGTGTAGACGCAGCCTTTGTGTGCATCTGGGGAGGTGGCAAGGGATAGAGCGCCAACATGGACTCCTCAGTACTGAGCGGGGAGCTCTAACCCTGGGGGATGGATCCAGCCAAGATGGTGGCTGCGTTCAGCCCTGGAGCCTTAGGTTCCCCACCCCTGCACTATAGCAATAGCAGCCATTTACAGAAATCATGGGTAAATTAATTTATTCTACACTCAGGTCTCCAGATTTCAAACAAAGTGGCTATGTCTACATTGGCATGATCTTGCGCAAATACTCTTTAACGCAAGAACTCTTGCGTTAAAGTATTTGCGCAAGAGAATGTTTACACTGGCATGTGCCTTTGCACAAGAGATGTGCTTTTGCACAACAGCATCTGTGCCAGTGTAGATGCTCTCTTGCACGAGAAAGCTCCGATGGCCATTTTAACCATCGGGCTTTCTTGCGCAAGAAATTTATGTTGCCTGTTTACACTGGCCTCTTGCTCAAGAACAGTTGCGTAAAAGGGCTTATTCCTGAGCGGGAGCATCATAGTTCTTGCACAAGAAGCACTGATTTCACACATTAGAACGTCAGTGTTCTTGCGCAAGAACTCCCCGCCAGTGCAGACAGGCAGCATGTTTTTGCACAAGAGTGGCAGCTTTTTGAAAAATCCATGCCAATGTAGACATAGCCAGTAGGTAATGCAAGTTAGTAGTTATGGAAAACTACTTGCTGGTTGTCTGTGCTTTCATAAAGCTAGATGTAGGTTTCAGTACTACTTTCCACAAGCAACCTGCTATCTATGATGTCAGTTGCATATATGTGGAAGTTTTCCCATAATCTCTATCTATTGGGACAGGCTGTTGTGGCTGTATCTATCCGAAAAGGCCAATTGCAGACAGCTGAACAAGCCCAGGCCTGAAGGGATAATGGAAGCAGCTATTGGCCTTATTAGCCAGAGGGATATATAAGGCAGCTAGAGGGGAAATGAAAGGAGAGGAGCCAGGGTGTGGCTGAGTGTATGCCCAAGCCAGAAAAAGAGGCTGGCTGAGTTAGTTGCTGGAAAACCAAAGCTCTGTAACTAGAAGGTGGTGGGAAATTAGCACTGACAATAAAAGTCACAGATGACTGCACCAGAAAGGATCTCCAGTTAGTTTGTGACCCAAGAAAGGGTCCCAATGCAAGGGGCCTGAGCGAGGACCTTGCCATAATGTATCTATCTATAAAAAAAATTCCCGGTGGATAACAGAGTGATGTCATCACATGGACAAGGGAGATCCATAGGATACAATGCACTTAGATTTCCAGAAAGTCTTTAAGAAGGTCCCTCACCAAAGGCTCTTAAGTTGGTGATAGACTGTGTTAGCCAAACGGGCTCGTTTCCCCCTGGAGCTAGTCAATTACCCCAAGGAGGCATGGAAGACAAAAGGATAAACGCCAAGCCCTTTATTTGTCGGTCAGCTGATCGGGTGCTCCCCTCGACTTATGCCAGAGGGAGAGGCACACCAAATTAAGCATACAGCACATTTTTATACCACGAAGTAAATGGCTTAGTTTTGCACTACAAGCAGTCTGATTACACAACCAGGATACATCTACCTAGCTTCCTTTTATTGCACACTTTGAGCACATGCAGCAAAAGCAGCAATGTGACTCGACCTTTTAACCTAATAATCCTTGACAGTATTTTATGGCTTCCCGCCAAGTAGAAATGTGCAAGCCAAACTATATATTTTTATCTTGCGAAAGCGGCTGCAGGGGAAATAGTGGGGGCAGGATTGTCTGTGAGCTAGGGGTCCTAAGGAAGTTCAGTCTCTCCATACCTCCCCGGCCTTTTTCCCTTTGAGGCCCCCTATTCTTCTAACAACTGATAACTGGCTAAAAGAAAAGAAAGAAAGGGTCAGTTTGCAGAATGGAGAGAGATAATTAGTGATGTCCTGCAAGGACCTCTACCAGTGTTCCCTCTAGAGCCTGACTGGGCAGGGCTGATTAATCACCTGTGATTATATAATTCCTTACAAAAAGGGAAATAAGAACAACCCAAGAAACTACAGGCCAGTCAGTTTAACTTCTGTGCCAGGAAAGATAATGGAACAAGTAATTAAGAAATTCATCTGCAAACACCTGGAAGATAAGGTAATAGGTAACAGCCGGCATGAATTTGTAAAGAACAAATCACGTCAAATCAATCTGATAGCTTTCTTGGATAGGATAATGAGTCTTGTGGATAATGGAGAAGCGGTGGATGTAGTATACTACGTCTACACTGGTGTGATCTTGTGCAAAAACTCTTTAGCGCAAGAGTTCTTGCATTAAAGTAGTTGCACAAGAGAGCGTCTACACTGGCATGTGCTTTTGCACAACAGCATCCGTGCCAGTGTAGACGCTCTCTTGCGCAAGAAGTGGTTTTTTTCGGAAGAAGAGGCTTCCAGAAAATAGCACAGGTGCCCTTCCAAAGTAACCAGGTCTCTATAGTTCCTGTCTCTTGGCCCGTCTTAAAGTTGCAGGCACTCTGGACAAGACTTGTGGCAAGAAGCTGGCCTGAGAGCCACAGGCCTTGCCACCCATGGCAGAGCCTCAAGCCCACCCTCCCCCACACACACAACCCCCCTGGCCCTCGCAGGGAGCAGCCCCAGAAGTCCCAGGACCCACCTAGGGGGACCAAGAGGTGCGCAACCTCCTGGTCTGGAGTGGAGATCCTGTCCCTCCTCAAACTGTGGGGTGAGGAGGACACCTTGCAGGATCTCCGCTCCAAGCACCGAAACGCAGAAATATTCAAGCACATGGCTGAGTCCCTGGCGGAGCGTGGACACCCACCCCAGGCCTTGGAACACGTCCCAGGTAAGGTGAAAGAGCTCCGTCAGGGATATGTCCAGGCCAGAGAGCGCAGCTTGCACTCAGGGGCAGGACTCCACACCTGCCCCTATTATCAGGAGCTGCACCAAATCCTGGGCGATGGGGAAACATCTTCCCCACCCATCATCATTGACTCTGGCCTCGAGACCCCCGTCATCACCCAGCCAGAGGTCACAGAGGAGGGGAGCCGGTAAGATAGGAAGTCTCCCAGGCCTCATCAGATACTGGGAAGGGATCTTCAAGTGAGTGCTCTCAGTTTATGACACTCACAGGGGAGGAGGGGAGGCAGGCACATAGAGGGAAGGGTGTGAGTGTCACTCAGGCTGCACATCGTGCTGCCGTCCGTGCACATAGAATCACGTGCAGCGTTAGTCTGTGGTAC